GGCCGCACGCATGCCAGGCGAGCGCTCTACCGCTTGAGCACCCTCAAGACAGGGTTTCACTATGTTGCCCATACTGGCATAGAGCTCTCAATCCTCCTGCCTCAGCCTCCCATGTTGCTAGGACTACAGGCATGAGCCATAGCACCCAGGTTGGTTTTCTTAACATATGACTGTGGCAGGAGCCTGAGGCAGTAGGATTACAAGCTGGAGACCAGCCTCAGCAACTCAGACCTCCAACAATTTAGTAAGAYCCTGTCTCAAAAAGTATAAAGGAATGAGGATATAAGTCCCTGGTAAAATACCCCTTGATTCAATCCCCACTACCAAAAAATAAATAAATCTGACTTTCAGTTCCCTATTAATTTTTTTTCTAGGAATGTAATAGTTTTACTGTAAATGAGATTATTCTATGACATTTCATGGTTATTGTTTTTATATTTTACTTATATAATTTATTCTCATGCTGGAGATTGAACTTGGGTGCTTTACTACTGAGCTACACTTCCAGTCCTTTTTTTTTTTTTTTTTTTTTGTATCAGGGATTGAACTCAGGGGCATTCAACCACGGAACCACACTGGCAGCCCTATTTTGTATTTTATTTAGAGACAGTATCTCACTGAGTTGCTTAGCACTTCCCCATTGTGGACGCTGGCTTTGAACTCAGGATCCTCCTGCCTCAGCCTCCCAACCTGCTGGGATTCCAGGCCTGCACCACCATGCCCTGCTCATTTCCAGTCCTTTTTATTTTTATGTAATTTTTATTTGTTAATCTTACATCTGGCTATGTTGCCGAACTCTAATATTAATTTTACTATTTTGTCAACTGTTTCTCTTTATAAGTGAATATATTAACATAATGAGACTTTTTTTTAAGATTTTTTTTTTAAAGAGAGAGAGAGGGAGAGACAGAGAGAATTTTTTAATATTTATTTTTTAGTTTTCGGTGGACACAACATCTTTGTTTGTATGTGGTGCTGAGGATCGAACGGAGCCACACTCTCGAGCTACTGCTTGAGCCACATCCCCAGCCCAACATAATGAGACTTTTCGGTGCCCTCATTTTTAATTGATATACAATAGAATATTGGTGTTAATGGTAAACATTCTTGACTTGTTTCTCTTGTTGATAGGAATGTTTCAAATAATTGTCAATAAGAAAAAGATAATTTTTTTTAATGGGCAAAGGATATGAATAGGCAATTTACAAAAACAATTGAAATGGTCAAAATGCAATAAGAGTTTTTTTGTTTTTGGTACTGGGGATTGAACCCAGGCCAGGGATGTAGCTCAGAGGGACTAAACCCAGTTGCTATGCAACTGCTGTACCGCTAAGCTACACTCCCCCCCCCCTTTTTTTTTGTAATTAAAKATTTATTTCTGGAAATATTTTGCTCTCTCAATCTTATTCAATTTTGGGATGATACTAAAAGCACAAAGAACTTGCTTTCAATGGCCCAAAATGTTGACAGGTTGGGGAAATAAAATTTGTGTACAAAAGTTGATTGGGAATTCTTGTTTTGTTTCATCATAAGCATTTTTTCTTTAATAGAGCCATCAATTTTCCTAAGCTCACAACCTGATAGCACCTACAGCAGAAACTAGGTCTTAAATGGAATCAACATTTCCTTCAGTAAAGTGCATCTTTAGCAAGACCCCTCCCTAACAGCTAAAGTTTGGAGTAGAATTTGAAGATGGGTTCAATTTTTCCATTTTTCTAATTCAGCCCGGCCCAGGGACCAAATTGCATGTCCAACTGTCCAACTAGTTTTGTTGGAAACTAAGGTAAGTTCTATGTCCTATTCCAGCGAATTCAGAGCTAGACAGCCTGGAATAAAAATAAAAGGTAACCAGGGTGTCCTCTGACTTCTGCGAGGACATGAGCATGGCAGCCTCGGGCTACTCAAGGAACTCCTTCGAGACACTTATTTTCAGATTATGGTTGGGTTTACAAGGCAGGACTGTGCAAAGAAAGTTAACTCCTCCCAGCTGACCCTAAAATCTTCGGATCTGGGCCCAATAACAAACTCAGGGAAAGACAAACCTGACCGAGTTAAAGGAAAAGATCGGAAGTGTGAACTATCTGGCTTCTACTTAGGACTCCGAGCCCAGAAGCGACGGAAGGGAAAGAAGTGGCACTGTTTCAAAGAGTCTTAGCCAGCTCTCCAAAGCAGCCCTCTCAACCAGCGCCTGGAGATTTCACAGATCCTATTCCTGCCCTCAGTCAAGATGGCGTCCCGGGCTCGCATTCGCCACGGCGCACGCGCCAGCCCTCCGGCCCGCCCTCCTCCCATCCTCCCGCGCGCCTCATCGCCGGCTCGCCAGCTGCAGCACTCCGCGCGTCCCCAGCCTCACCCCTTTTCTGGCTGTCCCCGCCTGTCCAGACTCCCGAGCCCGGAAGTGGATGTTGCCGCTCGGCGGAGAGAACGAGGGGGAGGGGGAAGTGCTTCCGGGGAAACGGGCCCCAGGTTGGTGTTTGTAAACTTGCCTCGGTCCCGGCGGGGACAGCGGCGGCCGCAGAGTTGGCACGGAGTGCTGGGGCCTGGAGGAGGYGCCGCGCGGCTGGGGAGGCAGCGGGAAGTCGTGCCTGGCAGGTAGGCGCACGCCCCAAGGTGCGCAGCGTCGTCCAGGCGGACGGCAGCGCTTCAGCAGCTCGCAGGCCGTGGGACGCCGCGCGGGAAGGGGGAGGGGAGGGGAGGAGGGGCGCGTGGCGAAAGGAGGGGGTCTGAGGGAGGGCCGCGCGCGCACCGCCCCCCGCCGGCGCCTGCCGCCGCGTCCCCGGCCCTGGAGACGAAGGCTCGCTTGTAAGGGACGCGGGCGCGAGCACGCACCTCGCGCTATGCTCGGCGCTCTCGTCTTTTCGGCTCGGTTGGTGCGGCGGACGCTGCAGCTGCCTGTCTGGGTGGCTGGAGGGAGGGAACGCGCWATGCCTAGCTTTGCCTGCCCGCCCTCCACCTCCGCAACGAGTTTACGTACCTTGGGGCAAACTCAGAACATACACGTGTGGGCACTGCCAGTGTGGTTTCTGCCCGTCGCCTCAGCGCCCAGCGATGGCCCCCGAGCTTTCCTCCACCCGGGTCTCTCAGCCTCTGTAGAGTGCCAGCTTGGCGGGCCGGCCCACTTGGCCCAAAAGCCCTGAAAGGCCTCCGCCCCCTTCTTCCATTCCTAAGATGGCAAATCCAAGCAGTAACCCTGTTGACAGAGTTACTCCCTAAGAGGTCCCTGTTACTTTTGCTTCTGTTGGCTGTCCCTCCTTGCCTAGGAGACCAATTTCTTCTACTGACCTAGAAAGAACGCTCTCTTGACTCATGTCCTCTTTCTGAGCTTCAGAGTGCGCCCAGCAAAAAAAAAAAAAAGTTCACGTCACTCTATGGCCTGAGGATGTTGCACTTAAGGGCCCCATCTCCCTCTTTGGTTTCAGGTTTCTGGAACAAATCAAGAGCTAAATCAAGAGAATTCAACTGGAAAACCAAGACTAGCAGACTCTCTTTTCTTCAGACAACAGGCAGAAGCCAGAGAGACCAGGGATTCTTGGAACACCTGTTTTCCCTTTGGAGGACACAAAGTTCTTTTGGAAGACAAAGGCAGTTCAATATGGCAGCAGGACTGAGAGGACATGAGGGAGCCATTACTGTGATTTGGTGACAGTTCTTCAAAAGGCAGTGTCTTAAGGAAAGCTGGATCAAGGAACTCCTGAACTTTGGGTTGCATTAAGTGAAAAGTCAGCATGGCTCAGGTAAAAAGCTCTAAAGTCCTCCTTCAAGATCACTGGGAAGCCTCTTTGCAGTTACACTCTTGAATGCTGCCCTAGTCAACAATATTGACCAACTCAGTGAGCCAAGCTCTGTATTAAACACCAGGGGGAGATCTAGAGGAAGGAAAGGAGACAGGCCACAGCCCCTGCCTTCAGGGAGCTTCCAGTCAAATGAAGGAGGTAGGCTATACTGCATCACAGGCACTAATGAAACTTTTGCAAAGCAACATGTACTCAGTGTGCATTTGGTACATTAAGTGCTGAGGGGCATAAAAGAGTGCATAGTCTGGTGAATGCTTCGTTTGTTGTTGTTTTTTTTCCAACAGGAATTTATTGAGCTCCTGTTACATGCAAGGCATTGTGCTGGAAATACAAAGATGAATAAGATTGTTCTTGTCCCCAGTAAGCTTCCAGGCTACTTGGGTTTGGGGGGAAGGGAGGGAAAGACAGTCTATTATTTTTATATTCACAATGCATAGTGGCTGACTAGTAGTAGAGACTGAAACTGTTGATTGAAGGAATGTACAAAAAATAGACATATACACCGCAGAGTGATACTTCTGCCTAGATGGAAGAAGATGAAGCTTGAAGAATGCAAAGGATTTTGCTAGATTAACAAACAGAGAAGGACAATCAGACAAGGGGTACTATGTAGACAGAGGCTTAGACTAAAAGAGAATGTGAGGAGGTACAAGGTGTGCAGGTAGTTTGGTAGTTACAAAGCAAAGGATTTAAATAGGTATAATTTGGGAGATAGAGTAGATAATGATGGTGGGGGGTGTTTTCCTGGAGAAGTAAGCAGAGTATGACCCCAGGGCCTTTTATGCCTTCCTGAGGAATTAGATCTTATTTATAGGGAATGAGGCCTCCCTAAATAGTGTTAAGCAACAGAATAACATCAAATCACTGTGTTTAGAAGGTAATTGTCATTGTGTAAGTGGAGATGGATTGGAGGGACAGGATGACCAGATAGCCTGTTGTAGTCATCTAGGTAGAAAAGCTTTGTGCACACATTCCCAGAGCTGCTTCTAGCTTTCTTCCAGGGAACCTCCCCTACCAGTCACACCAGGATGGCAGCCTGATTATAGTATAATTGGCTTTCTTCCAACTGCTTCTGCATGCACAGCTTCCTCCTTTCCCTGCAGAGTAGAAACCCTTTGGTTTCTTCTTCCTTTGTCTGTTTGCGGCCCATTCTACACATTAAGTCATTCTTATTTTTAAAAGATTGCCTTTCACTAAACACTAACTCTGTGCTAAGCACTGCCAAGCATTTTACATTTTAGTTCTCATCGACCCTATGAGAATAGGCACTATTTATTTAGCTTAAAAAGTGGAATAACTTGCCCAAGATTACAGTACAAACAGCAGTGATAAGATTTTTGACTCTGGACCTTTCACTCCAAAGTGTCCCTGAAGGTGGGAGAAGGGATCCCAAGATACACTGATCATTTATAAAGAAAGGAATTTTTTTATAAATTTGGGAGTTTACTGACCAACTATTTAATAAGTTTTTTTATCAGTAAAAGAAACATATATCGAGTGATACTAAACAAAGTCAGTTTGAAGAATACAGCAGTGAAAATAGGTTATTTGCTTAAATATATCTTGTTTAAGTAACTTGTCAACTTTATGTGGAACAGAGAATATGAAAAAATGTAGATATGCATACATATAAATGGCCTAAGGAGTCAAAAGAAATTGTTTATTCAACTTCAGAATCCTTCCAAGTATTTTMATTTTTACATCTGCTGTAACTGACAACACTTATTAATATTTAAAGAGAAATAACCTCTGCTGGGTTTCTGATCTCGCGACTAAAAGGCTCAGGGGTCACTCCAGTTAAACTGGGCTAACTGGGCTGCACGAAATAACCACACAGAAGACACAATACCTTTTTCTTTGGAGTCACTGTGACAGCTCCTCTGACCTTAAGGGTCCACAGAAAGAGAGAGAGTGAGAGCACATGCTGACCCCTTTTATTGAGGATAAGCTATTCAAATGAGGCAAGGGGTCAGATTTCAGGGGGCTGAGTATCTTAATGATGTCCGCTGTTCGCAGGTTGACTGACACCTGGGTAGGCCACACCCAAGGGCACAGTAAGAGAAGGGGACACATACAAGGCACTTCCATGGAAGATTCTATCCTAAACCGGGCAAGGGGTTATATTACAAAGGAACAAGTGAGCATAGCTTCACTCRTGGGGCTGTAGCAAGACACATCCATGCACGAGACATTGACCCTCAGACCCAAGAAGGGTGGGGAAAGCTCTGCCACATTTCTGCGACTGAGCGCCTCAGCACCCAGCCGGGGAGTGTAACTCAGTCACATGTAAGGTTGGTCTCTCACAAACCTCCTAGAATATATAGCTGGTACCAACAARGTCTGCCAATCAGAAATGGGCTCTGAAATTGAGAGCTTTTGAGAGAGGAGAAAAGTCCTCTAGGCATTTCCCATTTCTGTGGGTAATCTTGACACATCTCGTATCCACTCAGTGTTAAGGCCTAGAAATACTTTCAAAGTAATTTGTAGCCACATACACTGTACCTAGCACAGTACTGCTGACAAAAGTGTTGATACTGCTTGATTATTAATTTCATGTGTGTTTTAATGCTGAAGAACAACAGAAAAGGAACTGGTGAGATGAGTTGGGGAGGATCTTGAAGTGAGGAGGGCTGCTCCCTGGAGAGAAACAATTTGTCTGTAGCTGGGTGTAAAAGGCAGTTCTATAGAAGATGGCAGCCTGTTTTTGCCCTGCCTTGCCAGGTGATCTGACACCTCCTCTCCTTTCAACTTAGGCAAGTCTCCTGGCTTGTGAAGGCCTAGCAGGTGTGAGTTTGGTTCCCACTGCAGCCAGCAAGAAGATGATGCTGAGCCAGATTGCCAGCAAGCAGGCCGAGAATGGCGAGCGGGCAGGTAGCCCTGATGTGCTGAGGTGCTCGAGTCAGGTACAGCACTTGAGTCCACTGTGGTGCTTGGGGTTCGGGTGGCCCAAGCTTTGTGCCAGGAGACATCAAGCTTTGATTCCTCAGCGCTTCTGTTTAGGAAAGTGGGAAAAGGGAGTACAGCTGGGGAATGAATGAATGTAGATATTTTAGAGAATTGAGGAAGGTCTTTTTATACAACAACCCCTTGAGACCAAGGTACATGGAGAGAAACAGAAGAGTACTTTTTCTAAGCCTTTGGAGCAGGTGGTTACCTGTCATTTAAAAATTGTCAGAAAGTAGTATCTGGTCTCTTATATTGTGTTCTGAGATGGACTGTGAGTTTAGGTTTGATTTGTCTTCAAAGGGCCACCGAAAAGACAGTGATAAGTCCCGGAACCGGAAAGATGATGACAGCTTGGCTGAGGCTTCTCACTCAAAAAAGACTGTTAAAAAGGCAGGTAATGGGGTAATCCCCCAAACCAGTACAGTTTAGTAATGGGGTAATCTTTTCTTTCCACTGTGATTCTCCCTGGAACTTTCCCTAAATGCTTTCATCCTTCATAGCCAGTGTGTATCCCTTGATTTCATCCAGAGTCCACTTTAGTAGTTAATACCTACCCTTGCTGAAACATCTTTGGTACAGGTCAGGGAACATGATTTATACTGTTCCCTAGGGCAGGGACAGACTAATTCCAGCTCAGGTCATGCTCAGACTGTTGAGTGTAACAAGACAGGCATCTTACCCACTCCACCTCCTTTCCCAGAGGAACTCTTAACCCTGAGGAATGTGGGAGATGTTGGCATCTTTAGATATCATCAGAGAGGTTCTTCATCCAGCAGCTGAAAATGGACCCAGAGTAGAATGGTCTCTAGGAAGAGGGCAGAGGAATAGCCTCATGACATGCCTGATTGTTGCCCCCAGGTGGTGGTAGTGGAACAAAACGGTTCTTTTCAAGTAAAGATTCCAAAAAATTTTATTTGTGAACACTGCTTTGGAGCCTTTAGGAGCAGTTACCACCTCAAGAGGCACATCCTTATTCATACTGGTAAGTCTCTTGTTTATATTCACAGGGGGAGAATAGTCTATAACTTTTGTTTTGTGGAGAGATATACCTGTTTAGTTGGGTTTACCTTCCAGGGGAAGCATTAGAAATGGAGGAAGTGGATAAGTAAATGAGGTATAAAAGAGTGCATAGCTCTGTTTCTGGTGTCACTGAGACCAGCAGTTTTGGGGATCTCTCCACTATATTATAGCTTAGATGACTAAGAGGATAGCTGGAACCATGTCCCTACCACATACACCTCTTGACATTCACTTCTGTCTCCACCTGGGTTAGGTGAGAAACCATTTGAGTGTGATATATGTGATATGCGATTCATTCAGAAGTACCACCTGGAACGCCACAAGCGTGTACACAGTGGTGAAAAGCCTTACCAGTGTGAACGGTGTCATCAGGTAAGGCTCACACATCATCCAGCCCCATTACGGCCCCATAAACTTCCTTACCCAAGAACCAGGGCCAGGCCCCACTCCTGCCTAACCAAGTGGCCACCCAGTGTTCTTTGCCATAAAAGATGAACCTCAGGATGAGGTTCATCCCTCTGGCCTCATGCAGCTGCTTAGGGGGAAGRGTTAGAATATTAAAATAATAATAGCCTTTCTTGAGCACTTAATCTGTGCCAGGTACTGTGAGAACATACTTTACATAGATATTTTTTGTTTGTTTTTTAGTAAATCTTCACATTAACTCCATAAAGTAGCTGTGTCGTCCTCATTTCAATTATGGGGAAATTGAGATTCAGAGAAGTTAAGTTTTCCAGGGACACAGCAGATCAAGGGCAGAGCCTGGATTCAGTCCGACTTGAGAGCTCCTGCACTTTGGAGGAAGAGATGTAATCTTTGCCCTGAGGTCAGCATCTGATCTGATGAGAATGTCAATGCCAGGACCAAAACAAGACAAGAACAAGAGATGAGAATGATAGTAGTAACACTTCCTGGATGCTTTGCTAGGTCTCGAGCTTTGTTCTGTACTCTTACATGGAATCTTCCAAATGCTAGAGTGAAAGTCCCATGAGGGCAGTGACTGTCCTTCTTACTCTCCACCCTGTCCTCAGCCCCAAGAACTGTACCTGCCTTGAGATAAATGCTCAGTAATATTTGATGAACAAAGCAGCTATGGTGTGATTAGGAACATTTAGCCTCACCTTACAGATAGAAGAGTATGCAGATTCAGGGCTGTGAAATAACTTGCCAGGGTCACACAGCTCCTAAGTGGTAGAGTCAGGTTTCGGTGCCAGGGGCTCTGGCTCCAACAACTGCTTTCTTAACCACTGTGCTTGTGTCATCTGCACATGTTGAGAGGAAGTAGAATATGACATGTGCCTTCTATGTGGTGAAGGAGCTTGTTAATGGGCCACTGAGTTTTTCCTCCCTTTTTTCTCAGTGTTTTTCTCGGACAGATCGATTACTCAGACACAAACGGATGTGCCAAGGGTGCCAGTCGAAGACTTCTGATGGGCAGTTTTCTCTTTAGGCGCAAGGGGTCCTGGGTGGTGGGAGTGATCAGAAGAATCTACAGAAGAGTGCACACGCTTTCTGGTCTGATGGTCCCACCACCACCCCATCTGAATCTGTCCCCCTCCTGGAGGAGTGGACCCAGGAGACCAGAAGAATGCATCGGGACAGTGGCTTCAGAGCCTCAGCTCTGTAAATAATCTGAGACTATGAGTATCTCGGGGAAGTTCCTACAGCATTCCTGGGTAGGGGAGCTAGTCCCTGGACCCTTGACTGAGGTCATAAGTGAGGACTCAAGGTACAGGACCAAGACTGAAGTGTGGCTCCCACAACCTTGGACTCCAGCTGGCAGCTGAAATGGAAAAGATTGGGAAAGGGGATTTGTTTGTTGTGTTCTTATTTTTGTTTATCCAAAAGCAATTTCAGCAGGTAAACTATGGACACAGGTAATCTGGAGGCTTAAAGTCCTGATCCAGAAGCAAGGACTGTGGCTAGTCCAGCCCTACCCCAAGATTGAGTTATAGTAGATCCTGAACGTTCCACAGTCCTGCACCTCACCTCCTATTTGAAGGAGAATAGGATCAGGGATGGCAGCTGAGCTTACTTTGACTTTCTTATACACTGTAGGGACAAAAGTGAAGACAGTGGGAGGAGCAGACAAGGGCTGGGTCCAGGAAGAGTGAAGAGTACTGCTTACCTCCTCAAGAGCAAGAATGTGCCCATGGGTGTTGTAATGGCCCATGTTGCACCATTCGTGATGGGATCAGCTCAAGTGCCTTCTGGAGGAAACTTGAGTGACAGTGGTCCATGAGAAGCCCTTTCCTTCTCTCTGGGCAATTGGTCTTGTATATGGTTTATGGCTACCTCACTGTCATTGACTCCTAAAGCCAGACAGAGGTGTTGAGCAGGGAGTCAAGGATGTTAAAGTGGGTTCTCTTCTTGTGTCCTCTAAGGAAAACCCAAGACTAGTCCCAAATTGGCTAACAGTACTTAGAGAAACAGGAATTGGAACCCTGACATGACTGTTGTGCAGGAGGAGCAGTTCTCCCTGCCCAAGTCCTGTATTCAGGTAGAGGAGATAGGAGCCTGGCCTTGTGTCCCAAAGAACAAGAATTTGGCTCCCTTCTTGATGGCCATTCCTACCCAACAAAGATGGGGAGAGAGGGATGCTGCAGAGGAAGGACTGCAGGAAGAAACCTAATTAGGTTTCATTCTTAACCGTACTTCTTGCTCCTTTCTGCTCCACCATTCTTCACCTTCAAGAAAGTGATCAGATGAGTGTGTGGTATGTGAGTGCTCACATTTGTGTGCTTGGAGAAGATGGCATATTGTTGAGCCAAACCCTTCTATCACCCTCAACTTAGAGGAGGATGTGCATAAAATAGCCTCCTGCCCAGAACTGAAGGGTGCTGGGGTCCCAGCAGGAGCTGAGGAACTCTTACTTGGGGAACAAAAAGGCTTTGTTCCAGAGGAGGTTTTTTAGACTGATTCAACAGGATGGTGGTTAGGATGTTTCTAACCCAAGCCAGGGCTTGTAAACATGAATTTTCTAAGGTGAAATAAAAACAAACAAAACTCTCCTTATGCTAACAAAAGGATCCTTATGGAAGGTTCTGGGATTTGACTCCATGTGGCCTGCATTGACCTTTGGAGGTAGGGCGCTGTCAGGTGTAATCATTGAAAACAAGGTGAACTAGAGCACCAAGCTGTTGGTGGGGATCTAGGATGAAACTTTCAGAAAGTATGGTTTCATTGCCCAGAAAATTCTTGTAGGGAATAAACAATGGCAGCAATCTTCAAGAGGGTTGGGGACAGGGGTCCTCCATTTCCCTGAGGTAGGGGTATTTCAGGGGGAAAAAAAAAAGACCTGGCACCCCTTAGCTTTTGGAGGACAGCATCTGAGGTTTTGGGGAGAGATGTTTCCCACCATGTGTTGCCCTAGCTTTATGCTGACACTCCCATTTGACCTAAATCTTGGTCCTCAGACCCTTGCCGTGGTCCCTGCAAGGAAAGGGCCAGCCCCCTACCTATTACAGGGCTTTGCTGTGGCCGGGATTTTTGTATTGAATTTAACTCTGGGAAGGAAGATACCTTGAGAAAGCTGTCCTTTTGAAAGTGGGAACTCTCTCCCTGCCACTTGGAGCTGATCTGTTAGAAATGTAGAGAGAATCACATGAGTGATGTGTGCTTCTTTATGTTCAAATGCTTGTGCTAGTCAGAATGTCCCTTGACACACCTCAGATCTGGCCACCTGCCTTGGTGGTGGAAGTAAGAGAATTTCTGAGCAGTGCAGATGGCCATACCAGAACCATTCCTGCTGAGGGTTGGGAATGGTGATTAGTCCAGTTCACATGCTGATGTGGGGCAATTGATGTGTGAAGAGATGAGCAAAGGGATGAAAGGAGTGAGCACCCACAGGCACAGGAGCCCTGCTTCTACCCCAGGGAATCCATAGAATTGGGACTGCTGCAAAGGCTCCTGGGCCCAATACCCCACCCCTCCTCTGCAGGGTTGGGGCTAAGCACTGGAAAGATGCCTCAGGTGTGTTTGGAGTGAGGGGAAATGGAGATAGGGCAGGCTCTCAGAGACCAGGATATGGAGTTGGAGGGCCTAGGAAAGAGTAGTGCCAGTTCCTGGGTAAGCTCCTGCACCAGGCCATATCAACCCTGCCCTTCTCTTCTTTTCTGTCCAACCCCAGCAGCCTCTTTTCATCACTTAGCTACTGATTGTGCCCCACAGCTTGACATTGGAGGGTTAAAGGAGTGGAGTCCCAACACAGCTTTTAGCCCTCTTCCCAGATGCTCTTTGCCTCTACTGTGGCCCTAGGGCTTTTATCTTCAACAATCCCCCTCCTATCCTTCCTCTCCACCTTTTTTTTTTTAATATACTTATTTTGCTATGGGGGTGGGGACTATCAAATGAACAAGATCACTTTTAAATGGTAGTTTTTATAAGATGTTATAAACTTGTATCTTTTTACCATTAAAGTGCAGTGTATGTTCCTTCGTGATATATTTCGGATATTTAAATAAAAATAGTGGGGCTTTTCTACATTTCATCTCCTCTTTGGGAAGACTGTCTTTTGGGGAAACCTTTTTTTCCTGCAGAGAAGCAAAGAGTAGAAGCAAAAACTGCATGTGTTCTGACAGCTGGACAGAAGGTCAGACACCAGTAGAAGCAGTGTCAGTGTGATTGTTTCCTTATTTGTGATCATCAGTTACCTGAGAATCCAGGCCCCTCTGGCCCAGGGAGGTGGAGCCAATTGTTTCCAAGCTACTTCCTGCCCTCAAGTGGCCAGAGGAGAAATGGACTTTAGCTTTTGTGGGCTTGGGCTGAACAGCCTATTTTGGCCTTGGTGGGCTGAAGCAAAGTGACAGTTACAGTCTGAGGTAAGACTTTATTGTATACTTAGGTTGGGTATGGTTGCTTTTTTTGAGGTGGAAAACAAAGTCACAGCAGTAGGAGCAGCCCTCTGAGTATCACTCTGAAAATGAAGTTGGGTGGCRACCACTCCTCACCAGCAGATTAGTTCCTTAGATTGCTGCCTGATAGCTATCCCCTTCCCCAATTCCYACTGTCATCCCAGAGACAAGAGCCCTGGGTGAGACTCCTTCCCCCTCAGAGAATGGGACCATCAGCCCCTTCGAAGCGGGGATTGATAGTAGTTGTGATGGCACTTTTGTAGAGAGGATTGTTGTCCTGTGGGAAAAGGTTGCAAATTATTAGGGGAAAATCTTAGGATTCCTCTTCCCATTTACCTAGTCCTAAGAGCCCAACCTAGAACTAGCGCAAGATCATAGGAGCGAAGGAAGACAGCAGAGGGATTGGTTAAGTCTGAAGAGGATGCTCCTAGATGAGAATTGAGGGCTGGTTGTGTGTTGGAGAAGCCGACAGCAAGAAAGGGACCCAGCCAGTGGAATAAGAGGCTGTCTCCTCACCTCCTTCCAGTTGAGTTGCTGCCGCTCCTTCTCAAAGCGACTATATTCCCGACGGTCATAGATTTCCACTGAAAGCCGATAAGCCAGGACCAGCCCCAGTCCCACTGCCACGATTCCCCCTACACAGCCCAGCACAATGGTCTGAGTCTGGTCTGCTCCCTCTGTGAGGAAAGAAACAATATAGACTTCTGAGGGATAAGGCACAGGGACAGATCAGCAGTTGCCCACAATGAGTCCTGCCTCCCAAACTCTGTCACTGAAAGCAAAAGGAATCCAGAAGTGTCCAAGTTTATCCTCTTTGCCTGAGACCTTAGACTTATCACTTTTTTCTGCCTTTGCACTATATTTATTTACAGCTCTGCATCAAATCCAGCCTGGTTTCCCATTATTATCACATCACATGCCCAGCTCTGAGACCCTGCACATCAAATTTCCAGATCTATTTAGCATGTCCATGGCCTCTCTACCCACTTACTCTCTTGGGGTTTCACTCTAAGCGTCACTTTGCCTCCAGCTTCATCCTCCACCAGGAAGAAGAACAGCTGGTTGTCTAGTGTCCTTTCTTTGCACCAGCCATCATCCAAGATAGGGGTCAAAGCCAGAGTCACGTTGGCATGGGCACAAGCCATGCTGCAGTTGGCAGCCAGGGGGCCTGTCCCAAAGGCCCCACACTCTGCACAGTCCCTGTGGATACCAATAAGTTAGCAGCTGAGCACTTGTTACTTACCAGCTCTCACCTACACCCCGCGCAGGAAGAGCAGGCAACACTGTGTCCCTGTTCTCAGGATGCAAGACCTGAAGCCTCACCTGTATCTCTCACACGGTGTCTTGCAGCCTGGGCACTGGTCACACAGAGCACCATAGTAGCCGTCCAAGCACTGGCAGCGATTGCATTTGCAGTGTCCATGCCCACTGCAGAGCTCTCCCTCAGGACTGACACAACTGTCCATGTCCCCACTGCACTCACATGCTCTGCCCGTGCGATTGGCATGACAGTGACATACTCCACATTGGCAGCGGCCAAAGCCTGGGGTAGAGCCATGCACAGGGTGATAACCATCCTCGCACACAACTGGTTATCACACACCACCACATGCACTCAATTCCTCTCAAGTGTGCCTGACACATCCTCCAATTCATACATCAGAATATTTGGCACTTGCCTTCTGTGCCATAAGACTCCCAGAGTCTAAGTGCTCTTGGGAGGGCCCCTCTGACCCCACCCTCTGCCAAAATCTCCAGGTACCTCCACAAAGGATGCCCTCATGTCGCTCACAGCTGGCATCATCACACTCGCACAGACGCCCAGAACTCTGTCCACTACAGCTGCATCGTCCACATTGGCACCGACCCTTTCCACTGCATAGGGGTCCTGTCCCATTGGGGGCCCGGCACCCAGATTCCAGATCCGGAGAGGACAGCTCAGCCTCAGAACACTCACAGAGTCGACCCAGGCGGCCAGAGGCACAGCTGGAAGGAGAAGTCAAGAAGGGAGAGTTGGACCATTCCTGACTTTTTTCCTAGGATCCTCTAAACCCAAGTCCTTAAAAGTTGGAGAGAGATACCAGGGTACAGTGGAGCACCAAGCATGGAAGGAGGGAAGAATGGAGGGGTTCTGTTGAGGGGAGAAAGCACAGACGCATGGCATTCAGTGGAGCTTTGGGACGTTCAGGAGATCCCAGTGGGAGAGTAGGAAGCAAAGAGGAACACGAGGAGTGGTCAYTTGTAGGAACCAGATGGGTAAAGGGACCAAGAGACTCACCTGCATATTCCACACTGAAGGTCTCCCTGGCCATCGCTGCAGTGGGGAGCCTGGGGCTGGGTATCACTGCAGTTACAGTCACACAGCGTGTGCAGCTCCACAGTCAGCTCCTCAGAGAAGCCAAGTGCTCGGAGCCTCAGGAACTGGGGCTCTGGGAGGCAGTTATTAGCTTGGAGGGTAACCCAGAAATTCACCTGAGGACAGGGCAGGCAGGAACCAGACTGTTATACACACATGCATGTGTGTACACACACACCCCAAGCCCACCAATCATGCAGGACTCGATTCCTTAGTAAATTAAAGGACGGGGGGCTGGGGATGTGGCTCAAGCTGTAGCGCGCTCGTCTGGCATGCGTGCGGCCCTGGTTCGATCCTCAGCACCACATACAAACAACGATGTTATAACTAAAAAATAAATATTAAAAATTCTCTCTCTCCCTCTAAAAAAACTCTCTCTTTAAAAAAAAATTTAAAAAAATAAATTAAAGGACGGGATCATGCTAACACTATCTCCTAGAAACTCACTTGGGGAAGCCACTCAATGAACCCCCCTCAGAAAGGACAGGTGGAAGACTACCTTGGTTTTGCCTGTCCTGGCTGGCTCTTACCATCTGGTTAATTCGGACGTGGTTGCACTGTCCACGGTCCCCAGCCTCAACTTCACTCTTCTCAGAACCTCCACACTGGGATTCATAAGAGATATTGACCCCAGGAGGGAGTGAAAAGTGTTCCAGGGTCACAGTGGATGACAGGCTCTATGGGAAGAGAGGAAGCGAGCAACCAGATGAAGGCAGGAATCCCAGCCTCTGCCCTCTCTGGCAATACCTAGTTGTATCAGAACCCTGCCCTCTGCCACCTGGGGCTCCTTCCCTTCTGCCCCAAAAGGAGACCTTTCTGGAGGAAGGAGCTATGAGAACCCTAAGTAAACTATCCAGGATCCAGAGGTCCCTACCACAGTATGGCAACCACAGGGGCTGGCCAAGTGCCATGAACATGCAGTGACCCTGTTTGTCAAACTTCAAAGCAGGACACATAACCAGTGTGCATGTGAGATTGAGTTTGTCCTGAGAAATCTGACACTATCTCAAAAATTTTCTCACCATGGTTTAAGACATAGTCCCTTTCATCAAGAGGCTGACAATTTAGATGTAGAGCTACAACCTAAGCTGAAAAGACACTTAAGACTTTCAGTGGGGCCTGGAGTTATGGCTCAGTGGTAGAGCGTGTGCTTAGCATGTGTGAGGCACTGGGTTCAATCCCCAGCACTACATAAAAATAAATAAATAAAATAAAGGTATTGTGTCCATCTACAACTAAAAATAAATTTTAAAAATATCTTTCAATGGTTCCTTCTACCTGCAAAAGTTTATGATTCTTTTTAAAAATATTTTTAGTTGTAGATGGACACAATAACATTATTTGTTTATTTTTTTATGTGGTGCTAAGAATCAAACCCATGTGCTAGGCAAACGCTCTATCACTGAGCTACAACCCCAGACCAAAAAGTCTGGTTCCAAATTGTTTATTTTTTAATTTTGTTTTTTAAATTTATTTATTAGTGCTATGGATTGAACCTAGGAGTATTTTATCACTACAGCCCCAGCCCTTTTTATTTCTGAGAAGGGGTTTCATTAAGTTGCTGAGGCTGGGGTTTAACTTGTGATCCTTCTGCTTCAGTCTCTCCTGTAGCTTGGATTACAGATGTGCACTACCACATCCAGCTGTCTGAATTGTTTATAAACAGTGAACACAGGCTCTCATCTTACATTCTGTATGTATAGCCCTTTCATTGTTATCCATGTGAACTTGGGCAAGGCACTTAGCCTCTGTTTCCTCATCTGTAAAATAGCAGAAAGCAGGTGGGGTTAAACTAGGTGGCGAACAGTATGTGCACTAGGACAGACTTGGCATGAAATAAAAGTTCAGGGAATGTGACTGTCCTTCCTTGCCCAAAGTAGGGCTCAGCTTTTCGGGAGCTTGGGACGGGATCTCAAGGCCATTTCAGACACTTAAGATTTGTGAATGTGGGCTGGGGTTGTGGCTCAGTGGTAGAGCACTTGCCTAGCACATGCGAAGCCCTGGGTTTGATCCTCAGCACCACATAAAATGAATAAATAAAATAAAGGTATTGTGTCCAACTACAACTAAAAAATAAATATCAAAAAAGATTTGTGAATGTGAGAGTGAGTGACAATGAGAGCCATGTGTAAACTGTAGATAAGAGCTATAGAATGTTAGAACTAAAAAATGAGCATGGCCACTTAGTTCTGCCACTGCACCTTGAGAACTCCTTTCCATCTTTCCCTTGTGCCCACCCTCGACATTCTCCCTC